CAAGTGATGATGAATCTCCAGAGCACCCCCTGCCATTGTATCAGCAACGTGAAAATTTTTTCAGTTAGTTGCGGCCATTCTACCAAGTCTGTTAGTTTGTAAGGGTAACAGTATTCTTGTGAATTGTGTTAGTAGTATTGTATTTCTTATTCAGAATTATACTGATTAATAAGTGATGCTCATAAAGTAGACTATATCTTGTAGCTGAATGCTCCCTAAATATACTATTTATTGGTTTACTTAATGCTTGTAGATTTTCATGACAACAAATTCATCAATTTTAAATGGTGTACCTAATGTTGTCAATTATCATTGTCAATTTATCATGAAACAATAACAATAATTTCTTGTGCATATCAGTAGAAAAATGAAGTAGTGTAGGGTGTTCTTGTAAGTTGTACAGGTTTTATATATATTAGTCAATTGTTATTTATGGTCAATATTAATTATATTTATTAGCCTAGGTTGTTACTTCTTTACTATAAGGCATTTTGTGCTTGGTTCAGAAGCTTCACAAAAGCAACATCAATATACAAATTCAACTTATTCTGTGCTTTTTGAAATAAAAATTCAGGCAATTGCAGTTGTTATAGTGTAGCTTTTGTCTACCTGATTTGGAATGAATGCCACATTTGCAAGCAGACTGACATTATGGATGCTCAACATTCATTCCAGAAATGCTAGTTATGTATGTGAAAAATGTCCTTCAATAGGTCAGCTGTGTCGACATGTACATATGAAGATTATTTTACTGTTACTACCCTGTTATAGTATGTTTCTTGTTATCCACAAGTACCTGTTTAAGTTTCCTTTGTGACGGTCTCAATTATTCATTGTCAATTTTGCTGTTTGTTGACAGCTAGAAAAGAGTCAATTTTGTTGTTTGTTGACAGCTAGAAAAAAGTCAATTTTGTTGTTTGTTGACAACAAGAAAAAATCCATAATGTGTTGTTGTATTAGTTTTCATCAAAATAGTACAGTATTTGTTGGCTGACAAGCACAAAAGCAATGTCAATTTTATAATTTGATGCAAATGGATTTAGGTATTACAATCTGTCTGTTGATGGATGCATTTTGTTTTGTTTCAAAATTACCCTCTGAGATTTTTTTAACTGTTTGATTGTTTCCTATTATTCTGCAATTTTCAGATTGAATGTATTGAATGCAGTGGACGATATGTGTTCATTGGTACAAGCGATGGGTGAGTAGGGGTTAAAATCTCACTCTTCTTCTTTTTCCTATTCCTATTATTGTCATTAGTATTACTATTTACTTACACTAACTACAACTTATCACTTTTATTTCAGCCATGTTGTGAAGTACAGCGTTCAGGAAACAGCATCAAAGAATGCCAGTAGT